ACAGCAAAGCCATGATTGGTCATATTTACATGGAAACATCCTCAGGTAGTGTAGATTCAAGTTTGTTCAAATCATGACCCCCGGGGGTCGGGTGGGGCCACAATGGGCGATCAAATTTTTACATAGGAATATATAGGAAATTGTTTTTAAAAATCTTCTCAAGAACAGCAAAGCCATAATTGGTCATATTTATATGGTAGCATTCTTAGATAGTGTAGATTCGAATTTGTTCAAATCATGACTCCTGGGGGTAGGGTGGGGCTACAATGGGTGATCAAAGTTTTACATAGGAATACATAAGAATTTCTTTAAAAATCTTCTACTCAAGAACAGCATAGCCATGATTGGTCATATTTAAATGGAAGCATCCTCAGGTAGATTTAAATTTGTTCAATTCATGCCCCCCCCCCCCCCAAAAAAAAAAACCCACATTTATATTTAAACCTTTCAACCTTTCAAGACTGAACTGATTTCTGCTTTTTCCTAGCTATTGTGCGCAAGTGAGCGATGTGGCCCCCGGGCCTCTTGTTGATTAACACCACTTCTCGAATATGTTGTTGCACAATATTCCTGAAGTTTCTTTTTCACTGCTGTTAATATTTGAGGAATCAAGTAAAAGTATGGTAATTCATAATCATTTTGATTGGGAATATTGAAAATATTTAAAAACTGACATGTGATTTTGAAGAATTTCCTCCTTAGAAAGGGAGCAATGGGTATAAGATTGATATAATCACTCGCAGAATTAAATCCCAGTTCCTCTAAAGTACATTGAAAATAATGAGCCTTACAAACAAAGACAATGTTGTTACATGTTTCCGGATTGTCCGCTGGAACCAGTACAAATTAACTGATCGTGTAATCTATCACTTCTAAATTATTGAACACAGAAGGATGAAATGAACTATATCTCATTTTAACGAAAGTTGTTATCTTTTATTCCTAATTAAAATTTTCATCTTTATAAATGGTTTTAGTCAAGATGCAAAAACAAAGACATGAAAACGTCTTCAAAAGTTTATTTTCATAAGTATTTTAGATTTTATATTTAAAACTGGTCTTCTGGATACTATTTGCATAGGCGGATCCAGCATCATCCCCACCTTTAACTTATGTATACTCTCAATTAAGTCCACAGGTGACATTACATAATTCATAAATATTTTTGTACATTCTGAATCTTGGTCAATATACATACAATGCAGTTCTAAAGTATACACACTGCCCCCCTCCCCCCTTCCCCAATTCTGGCTACTTTGTGAAAAAATGAAGTGGTCACGGAGTGGCGAGTTCTTGAATCGGACTAGAAGAATATTATTTCAAAGAATTTATTTCGATAAAATAAGAATTGTATGTATCAATAAAACGTAATCAGTAAATGGCAAATGGATCCTGTCTTGCTACCAAATATATCCGGTTTGTCAAAAAAAAAATTAAGTATTTGGGTTTAAATTTTATACCGGTACTACATCTCTCTTTATTGTATTCTTAGCTATTCTATAATACTGGCTATTTCAACTGAATGCGGATGAAAATGTTTTCATTGATTGATTGATTGATTGTGTGTTGTTTCATGTCCCGTTCGAGAATTTTTTACTCATATAGAGACGTCACCATATACCGGTGAAGGGCTTCAAAGTTAGACCTTTACCCATTGAGCAGTGAAGGTTTTTTATCGAGCCAACGCCTACCGTGACATGAGACCTCAGTTTTTAAGGTCTCATCCGAAAAAAAAAAAATATCACTCCAAAGTGCCGAGCGCTTGGCGAAGGAACAGTTGCTACCCATTTTTTATCGACTTAGGTCTGTCGCGGCCGTGATTCGAACACAAGACCTTCAGATCAAGGAGTGAGCGCTCCACCGACTGAGCTACCGTGAGGGTCAAAAATGTTTTCAATATACATATATACACATACATGTGTTATAAAACGTAGGCAAAAGAAATGATAAACCAAAAGCTGATTTCAAGTTGTAATGTTGTCCAAAAAAAAAAAAAAAGGAAAAAAAAAAAAAAAGGAAAAAGTTATTCCATATTATATCTATGATCATTCCAGTATGAAAAATTAAATGTATATTTTTAGTAATCAAATTGGATTTAAATATGCATAGATTAATACATGTTTTTAATTATTTTCTTCAGCAACATACGTAAAATGTGTTATTGTATGAACTGAGACTGTTTAATTTTGTACTCAAAGGGATTCTTGTGTATAACTAAAGTGATAGAAAGTTAAGGTGTAAAATTCTAATAATCAAAATAAAGTGTAAACCTAAAACCAAAGGTTTAATAAACAAGTGAACCAACATATAATCCAAAGCATTTTTCTTACATAACCTATGCTTATTGTCTTTAAAATAACTGTAGCCAACATTTAGGCCCTGTCATTGTATTGCAATTTATGGCCAAAATGCAAAGCTCCGAATATTGATATTGTAATAAATAAATTAATTTAAAAAAATCGCGTTGTCTATCTTCTAATCTCATTGTAAGGGATATATGTGCTAACAGATATGTACTTAATTCTACATTGTGTCTAAATTTATTATCAAATACGAACTACTGAATGTTTGAATTTTCACAATAACTTACTCAAAATTCGACAGTTCAAAGTTTAAAATACGAGATGTGAAGTGTAAAAAGAAAACTTCAAGATTTACACGATACAGTGTTTGAGATAAAAGTTTAAGATCAACAAATTACATTTGTAGAAAACAGATACACAATCTTCGATCTAACAAATTGTGAATTTACACGCCTGAATTATTGAACATGATTACCATCCATAACCCTTATCGTCCCTAGTCAGAAAAACATCCAAATATGAAACATACATGACTTTAAGGTGCCTTTTTTATTTTTATTTCGAGTTCACTGGGACATATCGCGTCGACATATAAATGGGAGTAACAATTCTTAATTGATAAACTTCGTCCATATATCTTAATGTTTTTTGGTAAATGTTTTCTTCTTTTCATGTAAAGTATTTGAGCTAATTCTGCTTCATACAAATATTAAAACAGGTCAGTAAATTAAGAACTTCCCATTGGAATTCCAACAGAGGAACTCAAGAATGCTTTTAATATCAAATTCAAAGTACTTGTTTGTAGAATCAGTGATTTGTAAAATTTTGTTGATGATATGAAAAGTTTATTTCCATATGCTTGATTAGTGTATGGGGCTCATGGTAGGTGTATACGGTCAACAGGGTATGCTTAATCCTTCTAATCACCTGGTCACACCTGTGCGGTTAATAAGAATAAACATTAAGAAGTTGAAGTTTATCGGATATTGCTAAATTTATTGAATATCGTCCGATATCCTCACTTATACGCATAAAACTTACTTTTTAGAATTCATCAAGGTGGACAAAGAGGATTTCCAACCATTCCAGCTGTATCAAAGTGAACAAAACGAAGAAGCCCTAAGATTATTATGTATAATCCTTCTTTTGTACAGAATCTTTTTGTTTTGTTTTTGTTTTCATTTAAGTTAGCAAAAAAAAAAATCATTACATTTTACTGGTCTAAATCTATAAATTAACGTGGGCAAAATATATTCAAACATGTCCTTACGAGGAGAGACATAATAATTCATTTTTCGAGGTAACATCGGTACCCTTTTTAATGTTACCTGTGAAATTTGTGGCTAAACTTCTAATATTCTATGCCTTGAATTATTATCTAGAACACCCTGTTTTGTTGTCATTCCAGCAAAAAAGGGTAACTTTAAACCAAAACAGAGTATGACATTTGGGGTCAGTAATCTCAAGGTATTTTATTTTTATTTATGAAAAGACCCTTACACGCACGTTATTATTATTCATATGATAGAGCTCTGACTCATCAGGGGCTTTGTATTAAGTATATTTTATTTGATTTTTTTGGTTTTTCTTATGTCTTGTTACACTTACATCACTTTGTCAAAGTTTTCAAGCTGTATACAGATTCCTATAGAGAAGTTATTGGGAACATACTGCTAGTAACACTCCGAGAAGGTATTACTTTAGAATGTAGATTCATAAATCTGTGCGGTTTTTTAAACACATAATTAATACAATTTCTTTCATTTGGTGCATCTGTACGTCTCTGATTGATTCCATCCCATTTATTTATACTTGTAAGCTCAAATCCGCACCTAAGTTCGATCATGACCCAGTTGTTTTTGAGACTGTTTTTTTTTTCCAGATTCAAATTGTACAAATTTTCGTACCTTTACCTTCCTGACGTTTACCTGATTTTGTCTTTAGAACTAATCTTCATTATTTTTTAATCAAACACCATAAAAATACTTTTTGGAAATTGCAGTTCAACTGTATTACTGTAAACGTCTATGTGCTTATTATACCACAATTTTCTATGTTCCTATTACATTTCATAGGCGTCGGAACCGGCGGGGGGGGGGCACTTTTTTTTTTGCAAAGATAGACATAATATAGGCATTGAAAACTGGGACTTACCTTTTTTTGTTGGTTTAGTCCCCCTTTCAATTCGCCTTCTCATTTTCAATTTGCTTCCGACGCCTATTCATTTTGCTGTTGATTTGATTTCACGGTCACTGAATTTCTCATTATTAAATACATTGCATGTAATTTAAACAAAATATCGTAAGTATTTTTTGATAATGTCATATTTCCTTTCACTGCTATATCGAGGCAACCCGAAGCACTTGCATTAAAACATACAATTACATTTCAACCCTGGTTTAACTTTAGTAAGTCAGCCATGTACTTAAATACAAACAATTAGCCAAAAAAATTCTTCACTGCATATGGTTTTGTTGGAATATCACTTGACCTGGTTGATCATGTGACGGTCATGTTTTAAAGTGAAGCTTATAAACTGCTTCGGTGCAAGTGAATTTACATTTTGTTACATTAATAAATTTATGGTTTCCTCGTGTACCTGAAAAGTGCTTGGGATGATTCAGGCAGGCATAATATACCTGCATAATAAAAGGATCATTATATGTATCAATCTATAAACATTTCAGTAGACAAGAATGTAGATAAAATTCTTTATTGATGAACAAAAAATAGTGCATATATATATTTATGATGTTTGGTTATGATTAAGGACAAATAATACAAACAAACAAAAAATGGATGTTTGGATAGGTACATAATTTTTAACTTATTTTGGTTGTAAATGATTAGAATAATAAATTTCTAAAATATTAAGAAATTGTAAACTTTCTAAGATGCTTAAAATTCCACCTTTCTGCAACCACCCTTATTAATCTATACAACTTTTTGTCACTTAAAATCCACTTATTGTGAAACTTTGAATGAAAAATAAAAAAACTATGCGGTTAAACTTATTCATTTTACTTATATAAACATGATTTAAGTTGTTATATTCAAGAATTTAAATAAAGGTTTGTTTGTATCATCTGTCCTTAAAGTAGAAAGAAAAATTATCACAAACGAAGTTTAGGAATTATACTTCAGTGCTAGGTTTTATATAGAACTTACAGCTAAGACCAAAAATGATCTTGCAATTTTTTTCCCTTGATTAAATTCTGCTATTAATGTGAATAAAAAGTATTTAAGTAAGTTATTTCAAATCAGTAGAATCTGACAAAATTATTAAGCTTAAGAGATTTTAGAACTGTGTATTTTTTTAAATAGGCTTAGTTGTAAGTTCTTCAAAGCAGAGTACTTTTAAATTTATACTAAAAAAATAGTAAATGACACAGTTACAATTTAATAAACAAAGCAGACAAATTCAACAGGAAAATAAATTTAGAACTAATTGAAATATACCCCCAATGAATCCTCTTAGCTATACCGTAACACACCATAATTATATAATAAACAATGTAACTAGACATTCCACTTTAAATCTACTACTAAGTAACATCATGATAAATCAGTATAATCACAAAGAAACTGGTCAAATCCACAATCTTGTACCGGTAATCCATGCAACAGAAGCAATATCTGCACCTTCTCGTGAAAGGTAACAGACACTATACGACGGTCCACAAAGTGGTTTAGGGACAGGAGCGCTATCAAACCTGCAACACAAAAAAAACACCATTAAATTATCAATCAAATCAAAAATATTGAAGGGGCGTAAAAGAACTAACTCAAGATAGAGAAATTCGAGGAATTGTAAAGAGGTAACTTACAGTCCGATTCCAAGAGTGTTGCATGTTCTGCAAATGATGAACCTAAAAAACTTTTCTGCCATACACAGACTGAGCCTGGAATGATCGTTGGAAAAGTGCATCGATTACCATAAGCGTGCTTTATTTGGAATTTCACTGCGTTCAAGCCTTGAAACTGCAAGAAAATTACCAAAAAGACAAATTAAGAAAACGTGTCTGTGTTATACCGTGACAAAAGAAATGGTCGTGCGAAAGATTTTTATAGGACCTATACTAATGGGTGATCCCCTTCTCAAATTTGAGGAAACCCTTCCAGCAGTTAAGCAAGAAATAATTAGAGCTAAAACAAATAATCTGGATAAATTCTATTTACTTTTTAACAAGGTCTCTAATTTCTTCCACATCAAATAGTATTCATAATAAAAACAAAAAAAAAAAGAAAAAAAAAGAGGAAGAAAAAAGTACTACAACTCCCAAGGTAAGCTTTAAATAAACAACTTGTTCAAGGGTCACATCTCTCAATGTGTAATATTTGCTCTTGAAGAAAAGTTTTTTTTTTTTAATTTCTATACATTTCCATGTAAGACTTTCATCCCCCATTGTGGCCCCTTCATCCCAGTTTTCATGGTTAGAAAAAATGAATCTGTTTTTCCTGAGGATGTATAATGTTGTAACCTTTTGCTTTTTGAGAAGATTTTTACGATTATTTTTCTGAATATTCGGTCAAATGTATGACCGTTATTATAAAAGGGGTCCATGAAGGAATATTTTGAATCTGCATTAATTCAAAGTACTTGCATACTGGTATTAAAATGCCTTGTCTAGTTTTGTTTCAGTATTCCCAAGAAGATCTTTAATGATTTTTTCCTTTCTGTGTTCCCATGTAAAATTGATTCCATATTGTGGCCAAACTTTACACTAATGGGTCTTTTTTAATAAAATTTTAATCTACACTACCTGATGTCATTTGCAAATTAATGCGACATCCTGATCTTACTTTTAAACATTTTCCCCAAATATTTCAATGCAAAAGTTTAATCTATTCATATTGAGATTGAGACACTGAATTAAACAAAAAATATGTTCAGAAACTTTTTGCATTATTTTCATCTTTTGGTTTTTGGGAAGAATATTAACATAATATTTTAGCAATTTCTAAATCATCTCCTCAACGAAAAAAACCCTTTATTTGAAATTAAAAAAAAATGATGTAAAAAAGCAAAGTATTCTCTGTGCCAAGTTTGATTGACATCGACTCTTTTGGTTCTGAAGAAGAAGAAGGTAAAAAGGTGAGGGATTACAACACAGACAACAACTTCATATCATAAAATCCCACTGGAACATTGGGTTGAAATGAAAAGGTGAGGGATTACAACACAGACAACAACTTCATATCATAAAATCCCACTGGAACATTGGGTTGAAATGAAAAGGTGAGGGATTACAACACAGACAACAACTTCATATCATAAAATCCCACTGGAACATTGGGTTGAAATGAAAAGGTGAGGGATTACAACACAGACAACAACTTCATATCATAAAATCCCACTGGAACATTGGGTTGAAATGAAAAGGTGAAGGATTACAACACAGACAACAACTTCATATCATAAAATCCCACTGGAACATTGGGTTGAAATGAAAAGGTGAGGGATTACAACACAGACAACAACTTCATATCATAAAATCCCACTGGAACATTGGGTTGAAATAAAAAGGTGAGGGATTACAACACAGACAACAACTTCCTATCATAAAATCCCACTGGAGCATTGGGTTGAAATAAAAAGGTGAGGGATTACAACACAGACAACAACTTCATATCATAAAATCCCACTGGAACATTGGGTTGAAATAAAAAGGTGAGGGATTACAACACAGACAACAACTTCATATCATAAAATCCCACTGGAACATTGGGTTGAAATAAAAAGGTGAGGGATTACAACAAAGACAACAACTTCATATCATAAAATCCCACTGGAACATTGGGTTGAAATGAAAAGGTGAGGGATTACAACACAGACAACAACTTCATATCATAAAATCCCACTGGAACATTGGGTTGAAATAAAAAAGTGAGGGATTACAACACAGACAACAACTTCATATCATAAAATCCCACTGGAACATTGGGTTGAAATAAAAAGGTGAGGGATTACAACACAGACAACAACTTCATATCATAAAATCCCACTGGAACATTGAGTTGAAATAAAAAGGTGAAGATAAAGAACAGTGATCTATCTAAAAAAATCTACAAACAATACAAATCTGTGAACAGGGAAAAACAAGTAATGCTGAGAAATAAATGTGTAATACAAAATCAATGTTAACCGTTTGGATGCCTCGCCGCAGTTTGCATAACAGTACTCAATTCTACTCTGTATTCTTAACAACATTACCCATATTTAGTTTGGTCTCTGGATGAAAATACCCTAACAAAATATACTATATTTAACTTTAGTTTTCATAATATCACAGTTTTTACTACAGTCAATCAAATGATTTGTCCATGAATTTCAAATTGTTATATTTCATCCTCTTCACTTGATAAATTCATGTTTTTGAGTTTTTAAGGAAATCGTTCATGCTTTTATATATATATATTTTAAATTTTATGTAATTCATATTGAATTTCAGAGATATTGACCTTCCATTTCTCAAAAATAAGTTCTGCGTGAAGTAACAAAATAATTCAAACTAGAAAACTGACCAGTCAGCAAGGGCCCCGCCGAAGGGTAGAAATATAATAGTGCAGCTTACAGAATGAGAATTTTACTTGATTACAAAAATTTTAAAATATATGAAGAAGAATATGCAACAACAACCGTATTTATAAAATTTCAAGAAAATTCCTAAATATCCACAACCTATAAATAGTATCCCTGTATTTACAGTAAAAAACATCATGTCTATAATAACTCAATTAAATGTATATTTAAACAAGAATAAAGCATGTGTTTTATAAAATGCCAGCCTTCAGTGAATGCAAATATCACCCAGGCTTAAAAATTGACCTTAACTTCAAAACAAACCTCAGCTGCAGGCAAAGGTGTTAATTTATCTTAAAGTGACAAATAAAGATAAGCCCCTAACTTTTCTGCACCAAGCAAGATAATTTATCCCAGGGGATTAATTGTACTGCTCTCTCATCCTTTTCTTCTAAGCTTACAATAAGAACTTTTTTCAATAATGATTGAATGAGGTTATTATGGGACTGTTAAAATTAATAATATTCTTGAATTTACCTAAGGCAACAAAAAATAAATAAATAAATAAATTAATAAATAAATAAAATAAATAAATAAATAAAACAAACAAACAAACAAGTATTAAAGATATCTTTACGTATATCTTGTTTTTAGAATTTAATAAAATCATAACTCATTGTGTATTTTAAAAAAATAAAGTATGAACATTATTTAAACCCACATTTCAGAGAATGTAAACACCATTCAGAATTGACCTTAACGTCGAAACAAACTTCATTTGCAGACAGAGGTGTTAATTAATCTCGATTTGACAGAAACAGATAATGCCTAGGATTTTCTTTAAGAGGAAAGTTTATTAATCCCACGGGACTAGTTGCAGTTTTCATAGTTTACAACAGGAACATTCTCATGAGTTATCTCTCCTTGCCCTAGCATTCATTCTAATGTAAAGTTAAGGAATCTACCCCACCACCCCAGCTCCAAACTGGATGACACAGAGAATCAAAATTAGCATCAAAATATGTCTTACTGCATATACAACGAACATACCAAATCTGAACTTAATTGGGCAACTATAAAAAAAAGTTATTAGAAAAAAAAACCCAGAAAATTTGTGACAGACGGACAGACAGACAGAGTGATTATTATATGGCACCTTCAAATCCTTGCTGGGCCCTAATTACTTAAATTTAGTAATATTGTATAGCACTATTTTTACATAAGCTTTCAATTTCAACAAATATTTACCAACCAAGCAAGGCATCACATCAAAGTCACCTTCATGCATGGGCGCAATGTGTTTGGACTTTTTATTCATTCCTGAAATATGATTTACATAAAACATTAAATTGTATATTAAATGTTTTCCACAGAAATTGAAAAAGTATATTAATTTTAGATCTCAGAATTTAAAAAAAAAAATTGATACCTACTTCCCATGTAAAGTCCTGGAATCAAGGACTTTTTTTTTTTTTTTTTACAAAAAATCTGGTAAAATAATGCAATGATGCCTGCAAAGATAATGTAAAATTTCAGAATAAAAGTTGAAAATATGAATATGCAAGAGTATTATTTTAGCTGTTTTTGCAGTTCAGTCAATACTAGTAAAGCAATGTAAACCAAAGTATGCCATTGTTCATCAAACTTTGTCCATAAATTAAGGATTAATTTGTAATTTGTAAGTTATATAAATATCCTTAATACCATATCTTTCATTTTATAATTTTCCCAAATGTATATGAAACATCTCTGAATAGAAGGACCTTATGATTTTAAAGTTTTTAACACAAAGTATTTGATGAAGTACAAAAATATATTAAAAGACCGAAGGTTAAAATTAAAAGGAATAAATATTTTATAAATCTGTACTTCTTACTAAACATGCTACTATACCTGATATATTAACAACCATTATATACCATATGTTGCTGTTTATTTTTTCAAGAAAATTTTTCTCTGTGCTTTTAATGCAACTTTCAAAACATTAAATAGTCATGTACCAAGGGGGATAAACTTAGATAATTTTACCCGCTATCCAATATCATTTCCATGAAATAAATTTAATTTTAAAAACTGTAAGATAAAACAAACCCCAAAGTTTAAGTAAGTGAAGAGGAATGTATATATTGTAATTAACATCTGTATCAGACTTGATAGCACATTCTGAGAGATAATGCATGATAAAATTTATAGTCCAAAAAGCCTAACATGGAATTCCGACCTAAGGCCATATGCAACATTTGTTCCTTATCCCTTGCTTAGAACAAACCATGTAATGATAGTTACATGTACATGCATGAAAGACATGCAACATGCTTTACAGAGCATTTCCATTTTGCAGCAACAAGTTAAGTCTTTTTTTAAATTTGAGTGAATGTGTATATTATACTTGGCTTAGATATCCAAATGCACTTTCACTGGCACTTTGAAATACCTGTCATTTTATGCTCCAAGTTTCATATTTTTTCCCACCAAGATTGTTGTCTTACTGCTAGAGAAAATTAGAAAAGTAACTGATTGAAATAATCCTCTCCACATAGTGTTGTTCTTTATTCTGGCCTTTTTTCTCCTAAAAGCAAAATCTACAGTTTTATTCTGATGTACTGATCCCATGAATGTATCTTTTTTTTAATATCAACAGAAAGTCATAAGTTTCTTCTTTAAATGTACATATGTATACATTGTGGTGCTGTTATCAACATTTCTATAATAAAGAAATAACATCTGAATAATTTAAAGGATTATAAGCCATACTTACATCTTTGTATGATCACTATAACAATATCCATATCATGAATTTGTTGGTACGCCTCTGTATGAAATGCAGATTCTTAGGTTCTTCCACAGTTACAGATTATTTGACAAAAAAGGCAGTTCTCTTTTGTTTTAGTCAATTCATGAAATCTCGTCCGAAGAGCTAATTGACCTGAGACTTTTGTTCTAATCACAGTAATATGTTTCAATCTCAAAATATCTTGCGTAAATCAAGTAGCAATCTACACACACTAACAGAACATGAAATATAACTTGAAAAAAGTAAAGAGGATTCTTTGGGTTTGTGATAAAGACTGAAAAGTCAACTGGAAAATTCTTATGTGCCGCTTCCTAGAAGTAAATGTAGGAAGTCCATAGATCATGAAGGGAATATGACCCTTTAGTCAAAATTTAGTCAATTTCTAAGATGCTTATTAGCTATTTTAAAAAACGTTTAGAACTCATGAAAAAAAAATTTACAAAATGAAAAAAAAATGTCAATAATTTCACTGAAATTTTGAAAGTATTGTAGAAAATGGCTGTTAAAGATGTTGTCAAATTTTCTGGTTTAAAGTCTAAGAGGAATTTATGAAAGTACAGATGAGAAATGATACAATTTTGGAATTAGAAATATGAACGAATATAATTGATAACTAGAGTATAATTATTATTTCTAAGAGTAAAAGTAAGAAAAAGAAAGAAAAGAGATACATAATTTGGAATTTAAACTATGTATAGCTTCTTAATTATGTTCAATATCAGGAAGAAAAATTTTTCTTTTATACATTTTTGAGAAATATGTTTCTGCAGCTTTGAATATTTTATCTTTGCTGCGGACCTCAAAGGAAACATCGACAGGTAACTTAGTATCATAATCAGCCATTGCTATTATCATTGCAGTATCAGCACATACATCTTTCAGGGGAACCTGGATTTCAAAAATACCAATTGACTTACTTTTTTTAGACCTAGAATATACCAAAAATGTCGAATAATTATGTACAGAGGGTAATAATCTTATTCTATTTTGAGTTTGTTTCTTATTTTGAAAATAAAATGTTAATGTATCCTCTTCTACATTTCTTTGTATTCCAAGTTTAACATTATTTTCATCAACAAATTTTATATTATAATAAATCGGACATTCATACTCGCTAGAAGTTTCTGTCAAATCTTTAACGTAAAAGTATTCTTCTTGGTCATTTTTAAAAGTGGGTCGCCTTCCAATAATTTTAATTTCGGGAGGTGTCTGGCATATCTTATTAAAATAATCTTTAGCAACAAAGATAATTTTTTGTTTGCACATGACATTAAATCTAAGCTTTAGCTTTAAATCAATGAGTTTTGCTAGTTCTATCACGATTGGAACAGATATAGCGTGTTTATTCTGACTTTCAGGAAGTCCAATCACAGACAGTCTACCTGATTTTCTTAACTCTAAAATTTCTAAAGCAACTACTTCACTAAATCTTCCAAAATCTTTAGAACTTTCACTGGGCCTAAAAAGACTTTCCACCCAATTATATCTTGTGATTGTAAATAACACAAAATGGCCGTCTGTTGAACACAGCCTGTCCTTCATTTTTGAAAGAAAATGATTTAAGTCAAAATCTATTAAATTTACTTCATTATTTGCTATATCATTAATATTAGAGGACCAATGTTAGCTTAACAAAAATGTGATGTCGATCTCAAAAGTGTAAATTGCGTTGCAAATATTTGTATTTATTATTTTTAGTGTGTGTGTGTGTGTGTGTTTTCTTTTTCATTTATAACCTCAAAACCAAACCGTTTAGACGCTAAACATAGACAATACTTTAAATGGCGTAAATGTAATGTAATTGCATGTGATATATAGAAATTTTCTATAGAACATATATTTTGATGTATTTAACATAGTACTGGTACATATAGTATTCATGAGGGATTCAATCTATTTTAGAAAAAAAATTATAAAGTACAAAAATGTGCATCTAATATTGATAAATATCATATAAAGTTGATTTCAAAAATGAATTCGAAAACTGAAACTAAACCCAACAGGTGTTGATATCTCCAGAATCTTTTTTAACCACACACTCCTTTTCATATAAAAAGACACCTTTTTTCTTTCTCTTTTAAAAAATAAATACTTTTTTGTTCAGGAGAAAGCTAAGCGAAATTAAATCAGACGCTTTTATTGAGGAAATATATTTAAATTTAGTCATTTTAAGGTTAACCTTCATTTAGTATGAATGAGAAACATTTTATTTGAGCTGAATAAAGTTTTACCTTGTTTCTTTTCTGAATAGTCACTATTTCCCTTCATTACTTGACTGAAAAGGGCATATTTTAAAAAGGGTTTTGGAGATGCAAGTGAAACTTGTCTAATCCGTACACCACTGTTTCCAAAGAAATTGGCCGGATATGACAACATTCCAGATAAAACAATATTTCAAACAATTGAATTTTAGTAATATTGGAATGGACTTAAATTTTACATCGTATCAGACAACATTTCGGAATACTGATTAGACAAGATTCACTGTATTATTTGTAGTTGTATTTATTTTTATTTTAGTTAGGAATAATATTGTGTGTTTCTTTTTTTCAAAAAGCATGTTCAATTTGTTCAATTATCTTTTGCAAATAAAAAAAAGTTTGGCACTTTCTGTTGATCTCTCTATGGATAGCATCTATTATTTATGACATTGACCAACGCATGAACTATAGTTGCACCTCCAACTGAGGAACGCATATGAGATCCACTTGGAATTGCAAACATTTGAGACTTTGGGGAGACCTCGGACTAAGAAAATCAATTCTGTAGCCTAACAGCATACATAAGTAACATGAACAAACTTATGCAAAAAGAATGTTTTGCTGGTAATAAAGAATGTAGAATGATGATTATTTTTACATAAAAACCTTACTGCGCATCTACATGAAATGAATAGTCATAATATACAAAAATATTTTGGCTAGCTGAAAAATTAATAGGACAATTTGTTTTTAAATTTTGATCATAATTCCAGGGCTCCCATGGGAACTAGGAAATAAAAGCTTGTCACTTTGTTAATACTCCTCAGTCGTTTGGATTCTGCCTGTGGCTAAAATTTTGGAATAGATCCAAGATGTAATTTACTATCATCTTCTTTTGGGTAGGCAGACCGAAAAGAAGCCTGGACTATCAATTGATAGTGTGCAAAATACATGCTTATAGCCAAGAAGACGATACAATTAATAGCCATGAGGACAATTTGGCACATTTTTAGTTTGACAACCCTAGAGACTTCATGCAAAGACCTAATATCTACAAAGGATACTACTCAATGATTCTATGCATCGTAATGTTCATAACTCGATTACTAAAATAATCCAAATTTAATACTAGTGCCCCACATGTGACTCTGAACACCTTCTTAAATAATTCTTACAAGTGCGAAATATATAGAAGTTATGACAAATGAAAGCTCAAATACCAATGGCACTTGATGAAATATTTGATAAATCTTGCATTGGAAGCTTCCAAAATATGGTGCATAATCAGAGAATAGAACATAAATAGTCACTGCATTAAATTGTACCGCTCTGGGTCTTGGCTCAGGTAAGCTAATAATACAGTCAGAGTGTAACTTTGTATTTCAGAGCTATAGCAAAATACAAAATTAATGTGCTAGGGTACTTTACTAAATACTTTTTGTACTTTAACAGGGAGTAATGAGCTACCCAGGCCG